TGTGTGCAATGAGATAGTTGAACAAATAATTTAACTGTTGAAGGCTCACAGTGATGTGTTGAAAAGGAATAAAAGAGGACGTGGATTAAACTTAGTTAAATAAATTCAACTAGTTTGAAAGGCAAAAAAGTAGGACCATATTATTGACATTGACCAATTAAACTCAGCTCTATAAACTACGCATGAGTGAAGTCTGAGATTCTTGTTTTTCAAAAAATAAATATAAAATAATATAACAGCTAACTTCTGGTTGTTGGAATTATTCATATTCACCTTAACTGTTTCAAATGAATTATTTTGTAATAATTTCTTTTATAAATTATTTTTATATCAAAATTTATCCTTTTTTGTATTCTATAAATAGAAACTTGGTTTACTTGATCTGGATACATAAATAATTTTACTATAATATTTGATATTATTCACAAATACTCTTATTTATATAAATAAACACAAAATAGATCAAAACAAAATTTTATAACTCAAAACTGAAAATAAAAAAAAACTAATTTTGAAAGAAAAAAAAATTGATTTATTCAGAATAATTTGTTGTTGGTATGTATGTACAAAACAAAACATAAAAAAAAATGAAACAAAAATTTTAGGGTGTTGAATTTTGAAAACAAAAACCATTTTATGATATAAAAGAAAATGAGTGTTGAATTATGATGTGGAAGATGCATAAACTGATGTGTAATGTAAAAAGGTAAATAGTGGGTGTTGAATAATAGAATCATTGTAGATTTTAAAAGAAAAATTATATCAAATTTTATGATCTATAAATAGAGACTAGTCTCGTTTCATTTAGATACATAAAAAAATTTCAACTTTCACTATAATTTAGCTATTAATCAAAAATAATCTGTGTGTTTAAACTTTTTTTTGTTAAAGGATCACAACAATAATCCATTTAGCACTCAAAATTCATATAATTTTCCTTTTAACTATCTAGCCTTTATAAATCATTCTATAAACTTTTATAAATAACTTATAAACTTTTATAAACCTTTATAAATAACTTATAAACCTTTATAAATCATTTTATAAACCCTTATAAACCTTTATAAATAATTTATAAACCTTTATAATTCAAATTTATAAACTCATATAATTCAAATTTATTTTATAAATAAACTTATAAATAGTTTTGTTTGTATGCAATCCATGATTTTCAGATATTGTGGACGAATCTAATCTTATCTATTAATTTTTTTATTTTAATATTTGTTGTTTGTGTATTATATCTTGTATATTTGAAAAATTTTAATTATATTTTTGCAATAAAAACAAATTATATTTTTAGAATAATTAAGAAGATAAATAAAAATTATTAAAATAGTATTTTTATTATTTATGGTAATTACACTTGAAATTATTATTTATGTAGCTATTAAAAATATAAAAGATAACAATAATGGTTTTAAAATGGTGGGGTAGGGCGTTAAATTTTATTAAACAAAACTATGGTAGAGATTAAAAATAAAGTGGGTGTTCAATAATTAGGTGGAAGAGAGAATATGATGTGAAATGTTAAAAAGAGAAAAGTAGGGTGTTGAATAAATTAATCATTGTATGTAGTCTTAGAGCATCTCCAAGAAGAAACCTCATTTTAAGGGTGAAGAATCCTTAAAATGAGGATTTGAGAGTGTCACCAAGAAACCTCAAATTTATCTTGAAAATTTATACTATTTGTATTTTAGTCCCCAACTTTAATATAAACTAATGATAATCACTAAAATTTATATAGATAGATAATACTACACTTTTAAAAAATTAAACATGATATTTATAAATACAAGTTATATTAAAACAAAATACATAACATAATAATAGAAAACACACATTAATTCATAAAAAAAAATTTGCTCACTACTGTTATTTTCATAATTTTTTATATATGATCGTTTAATCCAAAGTGTTCTATTTAAGTACTATTCTTTTATATTATTTTCTATTTCATTTTAACATATTTATATATTTTATGTATTAATTACATATAAAAGATATATTTGAATATTTCAGGAAAATATATTTATAAAATATAGTTATAAAGAGTAAAGTGATAAGAAAATTAATACAATACAATTATATGTAAGATATAAAAATATAAGGAATAAACTAAAAAGTGAATAGTGTTTTGAAGGCATGAACAGTGGACCCTCAAATTTGAGGTTTCCTTGTTCACTCTAAATTTGAAGGTTTGAAGGTCTCTTGGAAAATCAAAAACCTCGAAATTTGAAGATTTGAGGGTCTCTTGGAGATGTTCTTAGGTAACCTCAACACTAGTATGCTGAAAATAGGTTTCTTCATTATATAATAATATTATTTTGATATTGTTTTATTAAGTAACTAAATTTTGTTTTCTTTTAAAATTTAAACAATTATAAAGATGACAGCTATTTAAAGAGGATTGTAAAGGACTGATAGCTCTGACTCCACTTTTTCAATTCCGTAGATAATCAGTAAGAACTTATGCATTGAAAATGCTCTTATAGTGTTTTTATAGTGACTTTGTATTGGAGGTGCTCTTATAGTGTTCTTGTAATGATAAGTTGTTGAAATCATACAAAGTTAAAATAAATTGTAAAATAATAAAAAGATTATATTTATTTAATTATATTTATTTTAAGTATGATTTTGGTAGGTCAAGACTCAAGACTGATCTCTATAATATTATTTGAGAAGTCACTTGCTTAGGTGTCGCGTTCACGTTAACTCTCACGCTGGTTGATTACTATGATACCCCTAATGAATTATTTCCTTTTTAAAAATTTTCAAATAACAATATATAAAATAAAAAGGAAACATTTATAAAATTTACAAAACTATTTAAAAACAAAAATATAAGTATATATAATATGATTTAATAAAAAACGGAAAGTTCACAAAATAGTAATAACTAATTTAAATATATTTTAAATAACATAAACTATACCTTTGAAGTAATAAAATACTTTATATCTAAATCTTCTTAGATAAAAAAAAAAACAATATCTGTATATAGTGTGATTTCATTAAAAAATTTCACACAAAAAATATTGCTATTAGAAAAAGAAATATTTTTTCCTTAAAAAAATAATTTTAAACAATAAAATATATATATATTCAAAATAATTATTTTTGTATATATCTATCTATTTTATTAGATGATTACATAAAATAATCAACTAACATAAACTGATATATGTTTAACTGACATTTTTTATAATTAGTATTATTGAAATTATTTTTTAGTATATTTATTTGACTATAATATCTTACAATTACAGTAAAAATATAAATTCTATTTTACTTATATAGTATAATTTCTCAAAAACAATCACTTTTTACTGACTATTTTAAGAGATACTAAAAATAAAACTAAAAATAAAGTTAATGATAAACATCTTTTGATCAAGTAACTACAATTATTTTAAAATATCATAACACTATATAATTTAACGAGGTAGATATATTATATTTTAATAGTTAAAATTATCTTTTCTAAGAATAAGGATTCTTATTTACTTAAGTATTTTGATTATAGTTATATTAAGTTTCACAAACATAAAAACATAAAATACCTACAATTAGTTTGCTTGGATTTTATGGTATATTTGAAAGACAAGAAATAATAAATTTTTCAGTAATATTAATGTGGATCCCAATGATACTTTGCGGCTGGCAGAGACTGAATCTCTATTATGGAAGGAAGCTCAGGAAACAATGAAACAAAGAATTCAGCATGTACTGGAGCTTGGGGAAGCCACTTTACCCCAACTACCTGGTAGGTGGTGCTTTACAGATGGGTCTTGGACGGAGCAGGATAAATTCTCGGGTCAGGGTTGGTGCAGTACCCTTCCGGGGTTTAAGGGTTTAATGGGAGCAAGGAATACAAGGAGAAGCCTATCACCACTCCACACAGAGATAGAGGCTCTTATCTGGGCCATAAAAAGTATGAGGAATCTGCGTCAATTTCATGTTACATTCTCTACGGACTGCATCCAAGTGGTGAAGATGGTTTCTGCACCATGGGAATGGCCAACATTTGCAAATTATTTGGACGATATAGCGATCCTCCGAGGAAGTTTCACTCATTTAGAGATAATTCATATCCCAAGAACGCTCAATACCAAGACCGACAAACTAGCGCGTAGTGCTCGGAAACAGCCGTCCTATACTGTTCATATGGATGATGAGTTACCACTTTAGTTTGCAGAGTCTGTTTAGAGTCTGTGTATGTTGCTGACCAAAAAAAACTATAATTATTTTAAAATACCATAACACTATATAATTTAACGAGGTAGATGTATTATATTTTAATAGTTAAAATTATCTGTTTTCTTAATAAATCTTTTAATTTTTAATTATCTGTTTTTATGTTTGTGAAACTTAATATAACCATAGTCAAATACTTAAGCAAATCAGAATCCTTATTTTTAAAATTATTTAAAATAAATTTCAGTTTACCATCCAAACAATCTAACACATAAATTTATTTAGAATTTATAAAATCTTTTAATTATTGTAAATATTGATATGTGCTCAAAATCTTCTAAAAATTCATTAGTTACTTATGTATGTATTTTAGAATAAGAAACTTTAGTTTTTATTTTTTATTTCCTTCTAAGCACAAAAAATCTTAAGTTATATATAATCTTATTAAATATATTTATATTTCTAAGATAACAACCAACATAAATGCAAATAAGACAATTAATCAAAAATTTAATATATTTAAAATATAAAAAATAATAGTTGAATTCAGAGAAATAGATAGAATCCAATATATCTAAATGATAACTAAATCGACCATAAAAACAATAAAACAAATTAAATCTAACATATCTAAAATTATATATATAATTAAAGTAATATAATATTCTAATATAAATTAGACATACAAACTATAAATTAATTTAAAAATTAAAGTAAATATCAATCAATTATTATTATATATTTATTTTATAAATATACATGCCCGTGCATGAGCACGGGAAAATCACCTAGTTAACCCTTATTTATGTTGTCGTCAATATTTAAACATTTCCCCAACAAATGTTAAAAAGAGAGAACACAATTTCATATATTTTCTTTTCTCCAAAAGAATTTTTTTTATCTTTTATTTTATACAGCAAAAGCCACACAATCATTAAACTTAAAATTTCTCCCGGAAGAAAAGGAAAATAATTAAAAGGTAAAATGAAAACTGTCTCAACCTTTAATTCCGTAACACAAAAGTATGTTTCAACATAACGACCGTGATGAACGGCTGAGATACACAGATAGAGCATCGTGGATTGTTTTTAACGGTAAACGCAAGCAAACGGCTCAGATCATATCTTTCGTAGCTTCGCGGCTATGACCAACGGGTTAGCCTTAGCGATCTCTTCGCGCCCCACCGATTTAAAATCAAACGTGCATCCGTGAACCTCAGGGTACCTATGGGTCCCACAGAAAGTCGTCCCACACCTGCACATAAACCCGGTTAACCCGACCCGTTTCCTGCACACGGTGCACCGATTAGGCCGTTGCGGCGGCGGTTGCTCCTCCTCCTTTGCCGTCGTGATTGTCGCCGGAATTAGTTTCTCCGTCGCCGGAATCTGAATTTCCAGGATCTCCGATGACGGAGGAGACGCGGCGGAGAGGGATGATTTCATGGAAGCTTGCTGCTGGTTCTTGAGACAAAGGTCGCCGTAGCAATTGGAGCAGAGATTCATGGTGGCTGAGCTACCGAAGAAACCGCAGTTGTTGACGCAGAGACGGTGGCCTTCCGGCGTCTGACATGGATGTTCTTCGGCCATTGATGAGGGCTCAGACTTTAAGAGAGAGAAATTGGTCACCGAGTTCTGCAGAATTGTTTTTTTCCTGCGTTTCCTCGGCAACTAACACGAAGGAAAATAAATTCAAAAAAAAAACGGCAGAGAAGGAAGAAGAAGAGATTATAAAAAGGCAAAATGAAGCGGAGGAGAGAGAGAGAGAGATGTGTTGTTGTTAACCTGTTTTTGGAGAAGAAGGTTTCGCTGGCTTTTCTATAAAGGGTGGAACGGGCAGAGAGAAAGAGAAATATGTACAGTGGCGATATGCTGATGATGATGATGATGATGATGCACCAAATTTAATAAAGTTGCTCTTTTTAGTATTTAATTTATATTCTCAGATTTTTTTTTCCAGAGTTCCAATTAATGTATTTCATTTTGAATTGATATATGTTCAGGAATAAATTATGTTTAAATTTCAAAGTGTAGTTTATAGGTCTACTTATCTTTCTTATTTCTAAAAACTTTAAATGAAAATTTTGATAAGTAGTGATAGATAGCAAACAAAAAAATGTGTATTTTTTCTCTGTTAAATAAAAGAACTTCCTAGCCATTTGAGCTCTTATATATGTTTAAACCAAAGTTATGTAAATTTTAACTTTCTATAATTTTATTTATTTTCATTAATAAACAATTTCATTCGTCAATACTTTTGTTAGGAATTTATAACAGTGTATAGTTTTGATTAGATGTAACAAAAAGCGAAAATATGTCAAATATGTATAGTTGTTCTCTGTTAGATTAAAACTTTGTTAATCAATTTTTTAAACAATTTATTGTTCTTATACACTAGTTATTTTTCAACCAAAAGCTGTGTTGATGCCAAATACTTATATATCTTGAATTTTATTACAGTGTTCATGGATTATATATTTTGAAATATGTTGAAATGTATATTATTATGGGTAGAGCTGAAAATTTTATTCATTAAATTTGATTCGATCCGTTATTCATTTCATTTGATCCAAAAATCTGGATATCTGTAAGTCATCAAAACAAAACAATTATTAAATTTAATATCTGTTAAAAACGAGATAAATCATAAATATTGAAAAATTTAAAACCGGATAATCGTGACTTTTATAGAGATAGATGTATATATAATTAAATATAGAATTTTAAATTTATAATTTTATATAATTATTATTTTAACAAATCATTTTATTTATAAAATTACTTATAAAGGTATTTAATAAAGAAAGGAATATAAAATCTTCATAAAAATTACAATTTTTCTAAATTGTGTTTTATAAAAAAGTTGATTAATTTTATTAATTTATGGAAATATAGTTTCACTAATTTTGATTTTATATTATTTAACATATAGTTTTGGAAAATAAATTGTATTGAACGAAATGTAATTTTTTGATTTATTTGTATTAAACAAAATATATGAGATATCCGTAAAATTTCACAAATATCGAAAAAAATTCGGATATCGGAAAGTCGGATATCCGTATTTATCTGAAGCAAAACAAATCGAAAAATCAGATATCCATAAAATACGAAACATATCATAAATACTAAAAAATATGGTATTATTCAATATGTGTCCATTCCTAATTATGGGATATATATAGTTTGAACTGAGTCAAAATGAAAAATGGTGAAAAGATAGGTTGGTAGAAGAGCCAAAATAGAAGTCTAGCTTCTCTTCTCCGTCCATTATACACTCTCCAACTTATCCATATTATAAGTTTTTTTTTTTTTTTGCTAAATCCATATTATAAGTTGCATGACGTATATGAGTATAAAACAATGAATTTGCCCAAACTGTATGATATTGGTTTCTTATTTTATGCAGTTATTATATTAGTGATAGAAAGTTGCATTTTATCCAAATCTCTGTCATGGTGATTAGTATCTTTCTCCCTAGATCAATTATATCTTTTGTTAGTATTTTGTACATCAACGTCGTCATGTGATCTTACAAGAATACATAGCATAGTTATTGGTGAATGTTTTTTTTTGTTTGCATCGGTGGGTTCCAAGTTCGGGAAAATCTTCCTTTCGAAAGAAAATAAAAACGCAACTATCAAAAAACGTTGTGAGTATCACTTAAGACATTGGTATGATGGACATAATTAGAATCTTGCGACGCCTTAAGCGGATCCTAAGCGTCTTTTAGAAAGAAAAAGTGTTATTGAATGATTTACTATGTTAGAATACTTGTATCTAATCAGCTTCCTATGATAAATCTTTTCTACTCCTTTTATGTTGTAACAGTGAAAATATTATTCTAATATGCACATAGATTTTTACAGGTTCAAATCATCAAATGATCACAACCTTGTTTACATATGATTGTTTGATAATAAATTGTAGATAGTAAGAGATAATGGAGAAGGTTGGTCAGGCTAGCAATTGGCACAATAAAACCCATTTCTCGGCCGCTAAGAGTCTCTTGTCCGTCCCATGTTCCCACTTTACTTTCCATTTGTTTATTTAGTTCCTTGTCCCCTCTTATTATTGATTTATTGTCGGCAATAACTTTGTTTTGGAACTTTTTTTTTGTTTTATTTTTATTATAAAACAAATCCGAGAACAAGAGTAAAGTTTTAATTACAAGTCTGACTCGAACAAAAGCACCCAAATCAACAAAATTCTAATCTATTTTGGCTCGACCCATATCTCCGGCGTGTTCCACTAAACCGAATCTTAAATCCTTGAGTATCGGTTACCATTCTCAATCTTCGACAAGAACCATGAGAAGGAGAGATTCTCCTCATTTCTTCAGATGCTGGGGTCTTCTCATGTAATCTCCGGAGTAGCTTGCTTCCGATGAACTTATCAAGACTTGTAATCTACATTTTCAATTAAGCTCCAGGCAAAAACAGAGGAGAGGAGGCTGGTTACTCTTACTGGAAAATAGCACCTAAGCCCGACTGTACAGTCTCAGCTCCACCACCAAAAACCCCACACCAACAGACGTGACCAAAAGGACCACGACTACCAATGTACGAATTGCAAGAAGTCGGGAACGAGGAAGCAGCAACTCTTGAATCCAAGCGAACTCTATTGACCTGCAAATTAGAAACTAGCAACACTACCATGAAAATCAAGATATTCTCACGGCACAGGGATATGTTGCATCGCCATTTGGTGTCACCGAGAGTAGATGAAGACATATGAAAACCTGAAACCATCTAAGACTCGCCAAATGCCAACTCCGAGAAACGGAAACCAATTTGACGTCGCAATGCTAGTCCGACGACAATGGACAGCAAAAAACAACAGAACCTAGAGTAATCACTAGAAAAACCAGTCGAATAGCCTTTACAGCGAATTCACACCAAGAACCAGAAGAGGGAAGGACAAATGGGAGAGAAACCGCTAGCACAGCTTCGACAGAGCCATAGACGACACCACCGGACAGCCACACCTTAGCTTCAAGATACCAAACACCAAAGGCTCCTGCACACATCGGCGCCGAGGCTAAGCTCCTCCTCGAGATAGACGGCTCTCCGAGGCACCCATGACGTGGAAAGAACGGACTAGACCCACCAAGACACCGAGGAAGACTACAGAACCGACTCCCAACGCCTCTTAAACCAGATCCAAACCATAAGTCAGATCTGAATAGAAAGCCGCCGTCCCTCCTCCATGCGCTACTACCTCTCCAAACGATTTAAGAACCGCTTGGGTAACCCTAAAAGCCGACTCCTCCAATAGCTAACCTTACCCTTGCCGCGCTGTGGCTCCAGCACCATCAGAACCGTAACAGAGCCATATCTCCTCTTGAGTGAAGCCAGAACTCGACGGATCTCCAGAGACAAAGACCACGAGCAAGGCGACAAGGGAGGCGAGATCTCGGAGAAGCAAAGGTCAGATGAGATGTAGGGGAAGAAGTGGTGGCTCTGAAGATTGCAGCTTGGAAGATCATCTTGCTTCCTTGTACTTCAAGCAATTGCAGCTTAGAAGATCATCTTGGTATGCGTCACTTTACTATTACTTGTTTACATGAAGGTTGGTTACCTGGCAAGTGCGATTTGCATGGAAGAAGAAGAGAAGGATGCTTCTTCCGCTGTCTATGTAAAGAAACACCAAACCTCATATGAGAAGCTCGCTTTATATTATTACTAAGTGAAATTGTGTTGTATAAATTATGTAAAATTATATTTTCTATTTATTTCGAAAATTTATGTTTTTAAATAAAAAATTTTAAAACAGTGGCACATTAAAAGAAAATATGATAAAAATTTTAGTTACATCCCTTAGAAGAATTCCATATAGTGGGTATACGTTATACCGTCAAGTGGTCTACATAGTCTTATTTGCTAGCAGATATCATGGAAAAGTTATGGGTAGTTATTTTCAGCGCAGAGATATATAGTACTCAACACATCTTGGCAACCATAATGATTGAAAGGTCTATGACAACTTTTCTGTTAAATTTTCATAACCCCGTTTAACATAGTTGTTAATATCAGGGTAATAGTGGTACTCTTTGTCTATGCAGGGACACAAGTGAATGTCTGAGAGTATTCGGCGGCCTTATCAGGCTCCTGCATGAAAAGTTGTTTACTTCTGGTGTAGAATAAAAGGTGTTAGTTGCTACAAATATCAACCCTAAGTTAGTTGGAGCCTTGGAGGTGAGATGTTACAATCTGCTATGCTATATACGCTATTGTCTTGAGTTTATCTTCTCTACTATAGTCTACAGATTTGCTTTACATAAAAGTTAATGTAACGTTCAGGCAGCTTATGATTTACGCTTGGTAACTATATATATAAAATGTCTAACAGGATATTGTAGTTCATGTTAGTTAGTTGTAGTTGCAAAATTAGTACTTTGTAAGCTGTTTATACTATAGTTCGAAGCTTCTCTCCTAATAGTTTTAAATACTAAGTTCTACAGCTTCTCATATCTTGAGTTTACCTTACAAATCTCCTGATTCACGCTTGCAACGTCATAGTTGTGATTGTTATTTTTTTCTCTATCATTCTATGCAACTGATCCACCATTGTGAGCTTCATATTGTTTGGATTACCTTTAATATATCTTATAACAATCCCTTTGCCAGTTCCACACCTTTAATATATCCTATATCTGACCTTCAATACCTTTAATATACCTGCAAGGTCAGGTGATGCGACTTTATCAAATGGTCCACATGTTGTAGCCGGAATAACTACTGAGAAGCCACCAGCTAAGGAAGATGGCATTCTGCAAAGAAGAAAGTCAGTGATTAAACCTACACTAATGAAGGAGTCTACTAAAGTCGCGACTCTCACACCTACGCTGCAATCCAGGTTTTTAGAAAAAATTGGAATAATGTGATACAGTAAAATCAGCTGAACACTTAAGAACTCTTTATTCAGTTCAATGTAAGATTA